TAACATGCCGCTGAAAAGTATGCTATGCTTTTTGTTAAACAAATAAAAGACACATGAATTATATGTGAATATTTGAGTGGCGCTCGTCAACTGCGAAGCACTTGACAAACGCTGCCGCTGCCACACAAAACATTGCAAAATGCAGTTGCATGTCATGTGCGAGTGCATTTGGCTGACAATCGCTCAACTGGGCGGCCAGCCAAAGTGGCAGCAGCTGGAGTGCCCAGCGGAATGCATGTCGTCTGCGCATTGGGGCAATCGGCTATGGAGCCAACTGTTTGCGGCATTCAATATGCGCATTGTTCCCAGCCAGCAGCGCCTGGCCAACTGGCTATGGCTGGCCATTTGGCTAACAACCGACTAACTGGCTAACTGGCTACCAGGCTGGCTAGCGTAATCGCTGAGTGCCGAATTGCATCACAATGCTGGTTAGCCAACACTCAGCACACACTTCAACGTACACACACACACACACACACACACACGCCCATATACACACTTTGGCGCTGGCACACTCACTTCGCGACGACGAACAACTATCACTTGCCCCGTCGCCCGTTGTGGCCAGTCACCGAAACGGCGGCGCTTGCCACAAAATAAAATAAGCAACGGCAGCCTGGCTGTGCCTCGTGCCACATCAAGCAGAGGCGTGAGCCATAGGGCTGCCAGTTACAAGGCTACACTCAGAGAAAAAACCAAGAGCCTTTTCCGCACAAGTCAAGTGCAAACATTGTCAGAATCAAGGCCAAACACTTGGTTGGTGCTTGGCCAAAATCCAGCCAAGGTAAACAGTTTTAGACACTTTATCAAAAACTTTGTCATATTTGTGAATTTAATTAATTTTCTTATATGCGTTAAGCGAAACTGAGTTTCGGTTTGTTGAAAAAGAGGTTTGATTTACCATAATTATGTTTTTCTCTGAGTGTAGCATATAATTTATCCGCACCGTCCCACCCCACTGCCTTCTTTGCCCCTGGCAGTGCTTGCCACGCGTGTTTGCCCATAAGCAAGTCGCTTTCTTTAAATATTTACTTTTTGCTACTCTAGCCAGATTTTTCTTGGGCCTATCCTGAACGGATGTGAACTCAGCGAGGCCATGATTTACAGCTATGGCAAAGTCTGTATCTGTATCTATATCTATATCTGAATCCATATCTATATATATCTGTATCTGTATCTGTATCTGTATCTGTATCTGTATCTGTATCTGTATCTGTATCTGTATCTGTATCTGTATCTGTATCTGTATCTGTATCTGTATCTGTATCTGTATCTGTATCTGTATCTGTATCTGTATCTGTATCTGTATCTGTATCTGTATCTGTATCTGTATCTGTATCTCTATCTCTATCTGTATCTGTATCTGTATCCAATTCGGATTCTGCATCCAAGTCCAATGCACATTCGCTGTACAAACTTCTGCAAATACATGAACAAGTCTTTCTACGCGATCTTAACTTGTCAGTATTCAAGGTTCTACTCGCATGCAACACCATCGTTTGATTTGAGCATGGCACGTTAGGCATAGTTATTATTTTAAGCTATTTTATGACTAACATTTGCGACACATTTGCAAATCATTACAGCTTACTCGCATCAATTAGCAGGGCTTTAAATTAAGCATGGATATTCTATACTTATAAAAATGTAAAAGAAACATGTACTTACCCAAAAGTTCGCAGGCACAAACGAACAATTAAGTCATTGTCGTCTATTGTGGGAAGGAGACTTATACACTTCCCTAAAAAGACAAAAGTACAGAAAGTCAGAGTGAGCAATAGAGAGGAAGAGAGGAGAGTATTTTATAGTGGGAGAAGTGAGAATAAATTTATTGGATTGTTACCTGATGCTTGTTCAAATAATATTGAAAGCACGAAAAGCTTTACAGCTATTTGATTTGCTGAGAATCGCATAGTAGGGCGATATTAAAAATCTAAAAAGTCAACATAAGGTGCGTTGCTTAAAGAATATATAGATAAGCTTTAATATCTACATTCAAAATCAAATACACCCATTCAAATATGCATGCGTACATATATACAAACACACATGGATACACATACACACATACATAGTTTCTAATATGACACAGGCAAACTAGTAAAGCTTACTTCAACTAATGAGAATCGCATAGAAGCAACATTTAAAATTTATTATAATGCCAAATGGCATGCAAATGTCATTTACGACATATTTCAAATCATTTACAGCTCGTTTGCTTTATTAGCTGGAGCTGGTACTGAAATTTGCATATAAATAATAATTTATATTTCTTGATATTTCTTTATTAATGTAATATGTTTCAGCTTCAGAGATGAGAGAGCTGAGCTGCGGCTGACAAATAATTACACATTTATATTTAATTGAATATATTGTTTAACAAACCAAACATTCATAAAATAATATCTTATACAGTTTGAAAACAATCTCCTAGCAAACCATTTGGAAATCAATTGCAATTTTCAGATTGGGGCTGTGACAATATAATTCTAATAATAAGTATTATCATATGTTAATATAAACACATATCCAATAATACAATTCTGCACACATGTACAGCACATACCCCTTCATTGACCTTAGCTTATGCTGAGATTGGGACTAGGATCATTTGGCTTAAGCAATCAAATACTTGAGACTTGAAGCACATTCACAAATCATTCGCAATTCACTCGCCTTCAGAGTTGGGAGGGTGCGGCTGGTCACAGTTGTTTTTATTGTGCGGCTGCCACTGAACTCTTTGCTGTGCGAAAATTCGTGATGTTTTTGTTACCATTTTTGTTGCAATGCGACAATTTGTTGTTGTTGTTGTTGTTATTGTTGCCGTTGCCGTGGCTAAGCCCGAGCTAGTTCTGCCAGTTGCATATCACGGGGCAACGGCAAGCGCAGGGCAGCAGCGGCGGCTACCACTGGTTCGTTTCACCTGGTAGCTGGTCAGTGCGCTCAGTTCATGGCTTGCACTTACATATTTATGCTCGCTCCAGTGAGGAGAGTATATTGGTTTAATAATAAATCGAAAATTGTAAGACTTGGTGTATTACCAAATTTGGTATGTAGGTTCTTCTTTAATATATACACATTTTGTACATCTCCCAAATTGAAAAAGTTAAACTTCTTTTTGAGAATTCAGCCTTGAGCTTGCCACATTTAAGCACTACCAATTTCATTATGATCGGACCATAAGCACCGAAGTTCATTTAAAATATGCATTTCCCATATATAGTGTGGGGCTGGGGGAAGAAGAGGCAAAGAGGGTAACATTGAGGGAATCTCATAGAGGTAGCTTGGCACTGGGTGTAGGGAGAGCATCTACCAGTCGAGCCCTCCCGACTAGAGCAGGCTTATTGGTTGTTTTTTTGCGTCTGCAGCATGTCTATCACGCTGTAATGCGTGTTTCACTCCCCTCCACCCTCTCCTCCCCCTGTCTCTCTCCCTCTCACTCTGTCTTGCTGTAACTGAATCCCATACATTCGATTTCATTTGGGATAGCGGGCAAAGAGCCAGCTATGGACCAAGTTGTGGCCTCCATGGCAATTGCATTCGCCTGGTTTTTAGTGCACATTATGACTTTTGCTTGTTTGCTTTATTGCGCTTTGCCACACACACACACACACACACACACACACACGCACACCCAGTTACACAAAGGCGGACTCTTGCACTTGCAAATGCATTTGTGTCTCTGTCTTCAGCTGCCCACCCCTCCCCCACAAACATTTTCTGCGCGTGCTTTTGCCTGCATTGGCTCGACTTAGATTCGGTTCGTCTTCGGCTCGGCTTTGGCGCACCTCGTGAGTAGCCTCGGCCGTCCATTGGCTTTCAGCGCTACCAGCTCTGGCGGCGCCTGATCAGTCGCGGTTTTTACTTTCATCGCAACGGTTGAGCATCGGTTGTCAGCAAAAATTAACCAAAAAGTGGCCGCCGTGTCCAGTTTTACAGTTTTGTGCCGCTTTTTTACTCGTGTTGTTTCTATTTCTTTTTTTTTTTTTAACTTTTATTTCTGTTGCTATTGTTGTTTACCTCTCCAATTACCACCCAGCGCGCCACCATTGCACCCGTCTCCACACGACATTGCGTGGGTTTTATTGTTGTTTTTGTTGTTATTACGATTGGCAAACAATTGAATTGCAATATGTTGCACCACTTTGCTTGCTTGCCAACCCCCCAACCTCCCTCGCCCTACCGCCCACAAGTTATGTGAATGTGGCATATGAGTCCAGTATGCGAATGAGTGTATTCAGTGGCTCAACATTAATTAACAGGTCCAAACAGATCTTCAGTTGATGTCATTCCATACGACTTGGGCTATGCTAGGGGCTAGATAGAGGTCTCTTTGATTTAAGTTGGGTTCGGTTCCGGTTGGCTTAAGGTTTTGCAAGAAAATTACAATGGAACTTTAATTAAAGATGCGCAATAACAAATCTGCTTTACTAGGCGGAAGAGCAAGTAATAGCTCTCTCTCAAGATCAAGATTAATAGTTTTACAACTATCTTGAGAAGCAGATTTAATATTTGGAAGATATTTAGAAGAAAAAGGTCTTAGACCTAGGCACGATCACATCTCTTTGGCACCTGTTGGCCTCTTTGCAAAACTAAATTCCATTGTCTTGAAAGATATTTCCTTTGGGATCTATCGCTACCAACCTAACCTAACCTAACCAAAGCAATACCTTCGATTTGGGAATACCATGTGGCAGTAGCTTATGCATTGGATTTACTTTCTAAAAGTCTGAGAAAAATGGCATGTTGCAAATGTTAGATTAGAGTTCCAGCCTAGGAAGGAAGAAGAAAATGCTCACAAGCAGGAATTCAAGGGGAAAAACATCAAGATATTTCTTAAAATATGTCTCCCCTGCTCTAGTTATTTAGATGATAGAATAGAAAGCAAATAGAAAGACCTAGTATACAGTGTTGACGCTTTCGATTATACAAACAATATTTGAGTTAGTTCTTTTACTTTGTAAAGAAAAATATAATTTCCTCTATATGCCTGCAGAATTGTATTCAGAAAACGGATTTCAGTTTCAGGCAACGGCTTAGATGCGGGAATCCATTTCAAGTTTTGCCACAGTACCAAGTGTTCTTTAATATGATAATGGCTTTAGTAAAGATTATAATAATAATGGTTCATAATATGTTTAAGCAAAGAAGATATAAATAGGATCATTTTGTAGAATCTTTACACTTTTTGGAAGGATTTCTTACTAGTTACCCAATAAAAAAATCTATTGAAGAATGATATGATATTTTTATGAATTGGGGTATTCTGTAAATGCTTAGCTACAGTTGAAATTGAGAGGATTGTTTTGGATTTGTGCTCTAAGAGAAAAGATATTACATTGTTGTAGACTCTTAAGTAGCAAGAGATTAGAGACAGGGAATACCAAGGACTTCGCATGTTATTTAAGAGATACCAAGTACTAAGGTAACACTAATAGAAAATAGAAAGGAATAGTGTGTCTTAGTAAAGCATAACTTAATTTAAGCTGAATTTCTTTTTATTGCTCAGTTCTCAAAGCAGTTACTGAGATCATAAAAGCTATGAGAGCGATAATAGGCTAATAACTAGCTGTAGCCAACGATATTGAGCGATCAATTTAGACCATATAGAAATTGCATAATCAGGTGAAAACTGCGAATGCGGTGCCAAAGATCATCATCATCATCGCAGCAGTGCGAATTGATGGCGCGATGCGGAAGTTATGTAAGAAAGGCTAACTCGAGACATCAGCAGCATTTTTCCCCTCAAACAGCAGGCAGCAGGCAGCACTCGGCATAGGCATCGGCCCGATCGGCTTTGGCTTTGGCCAACATCCAACTGCGAACGGGCCACTCGGCGTTGCTCGGTGCTTGCAACACGTTTAACAAGTTTAACCAGGAAATTTTGTAATTTTCCTCTTTGCTGCCTGTGAAAGCAGCAGCTGCGGCAGGCTTTGGCAATCCGTGCAACCTGCGCCCGCCTAGAAACAATTAAAACCATAAAAATATATATAGATAAAAGCTAACAACAAATCGGCTCATAACTTTGGCCGCCAGCCCATAAAGCGCAATAATATATGGGGTAAACGTACACTGAACTCTATCAATAATCCATATATATATATATATATATATACATAACATCTAGATGCCCATTGTGCACGCCACGTGAACGATGACAGCGCGAAGTGAGAATCGCAACTTGGAGCAGAAGCAAAATAACACGTGAAAACTGAGAAACCAAAAAAAAAAAAAACAATAACAAAAAAAAAATGCAGTCAAGCGATTAAAAGAAAACAAACTCGACTGCAACGAGACATCAAGCCAAAGTCCAGGCCACAGCGCAGCAGTAAGAACAAGGTGAAGCAGTTGGAGCAGCAGCCGGACGATATGTCAAGGACATCGAGGCTCTGGCCAGGCAGCGGCAACGCAACTGTTGGACAATGCACCATTCTGCTGACTGTCATCCTGTGCGCCAGCCGTGCTGTTGCCGCGCCCAATCAAACCGAGCTGCATGCCGCAACGGGAGCTGGCGGCACGGCGCCGGCCAAGGCGTTGGCCTCCACGGCGCATCGTTTTAGCAGCCGGAACAACATAACCATACTGCATGAGGTAACGCCCGAGGAGGAGCTGGCGGAGCCGCCGCTAACGCTCAATATACACGAGGTGCTGCCACCGCAGAAGCCAACCAAGAAGAAGCCCTACCTGCCGCTGGACAAGCTGTTGCCGACCATTGATTATGTTAAGCCGCATCCGCTGAAGGAGTACGAACTGCATCCGGTTACATTCGATTTCAATTTGGGCGATCTGGAGGATCTCGAGCATGAGGTCATCAAGAAGGGTGATCTCAGCAGCGAGGAGCAGCACGTGCTCAGCAATGGCGATGCGCCCGACCTCAGCTACAAGCCCACAAATCCCGATGACACCGATGCCGTCGATGTGGATATATCAGCGCTGCCAGAGTCTGGTTATGCGCTGCCCACCACAGCTCCCACAACCACAACAACAATGACAACGACAACGACAACGACAACTGCAGCCACAACAACTAGCACCACAACCACGCCCGGCACACACATCTTGAAAATACTGCGAAACAAGCCATCCACGAAGAAGGGTCGCGAGCTGCTCAAGCAGAGCGACGACGACATGCAGCTGAAGACCCTGGGCAGCACCATCAACAGCATCAGCCGCTATCTGGGCAGCAATGGCTCCGGCAATGCCAACAGCAGCATGGCCGAGAGCCTCTACGGCTCGGCTAACTACTTTCAGATCGTGACCAATCTCTACGATCACTTCTACTGGCAGATCTCCGAGATACGCACCAGTGTGCGCACCGGCTGTGGCCTCGAAATGCAGGCATACCTGACCGCACTTCACTCCAGCTACGAGTGGGCACAGAAAGGTGAGTGAACTGTTGACTCGGGAATGCTCGACCAGCAGATACCCTGCACCCAGCAACGAGCTGCCATCTAGCTTTCTTCTATACAGCCTTCCCTCACTTCCACACTTTGTATGGGAAATGGAATCTCGCTTAAGATCGGTACGAGAAAATATATTTTAAATTTAAAGTTTTGTGATTTTTGGACAGGACAGACCAACTCAGCTCATCTTTCTAATGAATAATATATATACTTTATACGATCGGAAATGCTTTCATCTATCTGTTACATACATTCGCACAAAAGCATTCCTCCCTTTTTAATCATATTCAATGGGTGTGGTGTATTGAAAGAAAAATCCACAAAACAAACACGCCGAACGTTAAATGCCCTTGCAGACATGCAGACCAACTGCAAACCCTAATACCCTATCGAGCTTAACTGATCTTGAAATTAGGAATCAGAAGGCAGAAGTCGATTCCAGCACAAAAATAAAAACAGAAGAGAAGAGAAAAAAAACTGTTTACAAAATGAAGTAAAAACGGATCAGCAAAGCCTTGGCAATTGCAAGGTCTGACGATCTACAAACAGAATCTTTACTGAACAATTTATATATGAATGGAAACTATTTTTTGGGTCTTTTTATAATCCATGACTGTGATCTTAGAAATGTGCAAACTTGTAGCTGCGACTACTGATCGATGCAATCATTTGTTATTGTTAATATGATCACGAGTAGTTGAATGAGCATTAAAATTTAGAATCAGCTAAAGATCAGTTGACAAATCCTAGCAGATCCACAGCGATATTTAGGGGCGTATAACTGACCTTGGAAGAAACATTGAGTTATCGGAATTATCGGATGTGATCCTGAGTGATTCTCATTGAGATAACTTTATTGATCTTTGATTACAGCATATGATGCATCGGGACGCTATCGTGGACAGCTGCTGTTTGGCAATGACAAGTGGCTGGGTCAGCTGCAATTCTGCCTTGAGCTCAATCGGCAGCTGTTGGGCAGTGGGGAGCGCAAGCACTTTGAGCTGGAGTTCTATGTGGCGGATGTGTCCTTGCAATTGCCACGCCTCAATCGAACGGTAAGTCAAATGAGCTGTCAGCTGTTAGCTTAACTATAGCGAGTGTCCACACACAGCAGCAGATGCTGAGCCTGGGCGAGTGCCTGCCCAAGTCCTGTTCGGCGCACGATGTCCAGGCCATACTCTCGCTGGATCCCTACGCCCGCATGCTGACCATGCTGGCTGCACACAATGCCAGCGTCCAGCAGCCGGCGTTGCAGGTGTTGCGCGTGCGCACCGTGCCCGGCCCCTACAGCCACTGGCGGCAACTAAAGTTTCAGGTGTTCATGTGAGTAGCACAGACCATGCACAATGCCCCAACTACCTCGCTTCCCCCTTCACTCTCACTCTTCCTCTCTGTCTGCAGAAGCTTTCTGCTTACCCTGCTGCTGGTGATGATTGTGGCCACCTATTGCCAGCTTAAGATCGATAAGCGTCGCCTGGTTGCGGCTCCGATACCAGCGATAAGCGCCAAGTGCGATGCGGCCAACAAGGGCGGCGACTACGAAACCGCCTACTATGGCAAACCCTTTGAGCTGTTCCAGATGCGTCCGCTGGGCAGCAACGGGATTGTGGCCAGCGAGACGGCCCTGGACGCGCACATGGATATGAATGGCAACAGGCAGCGTCATGTCATGGATGCTGCTGCTAATTTAAATGAGGCAATGCCTGGCGAGGGCACAGCATCTACCTCGGTAGGAGTGGCTCTGGCCGTGGGCGTGGGCGTGACGGGCAAACAGTCGGAAAAGACCGAGATGACGGACTACCAGGTGGAAACGGGCAGCTGTGCGGGCGTACCGGGCACCTACGAGGCCGAACAGCCCATAGGTAGGTGTTAACACTATTGATTGATTGATTGACTGACTGACTGACTGACTGATGATGATCGCTTAGAGCAAACCCTATAGGGGTAGTTTGTAGCCTTTGGGATTTTGAGCCTTTTCACATGCGAATGTGGAAAATAAGTGAAAGTCACATTTGTGAATCTTTTGGCTTAACACAGATTGGCTTTCAAATCGTTTGATGAATTTAAATAAATTAAATGAGAATTGTGTAAGCCGCGCAAAACCGGGCTGCACTTGGCATTGCCCCATATACAATTGATATATAAACTACAACCAATACTTGCAGCTCTGCACCAGCAGCTGTTGCTGTGCTTCGCACTGCAAACGAACGCCAAGGCCATATTGAACATAGACAAGACCAAGGAGGTAAGTTTAAGCCAAACCTCGGCCAGCTCCAGCTCTTACTGCAAATCCCATTGCAGACGCACACATCCTGCTTGCACGGCCTGCGCGTCTTTTCGGTGCTCTGGACCATGATGGTACACACATATCTGCAGATGTTTGCCATTGGCGAGAATAAGGTAGGCTCTGGCACGTAGTCCAATTTCTTTTTAAATGTCTGCATTTCATACGGCCAGTTCGAACGCGTGATTACGGAGCGTTCGTTTTGGTACCAGATCATTGGCAATGCGACCTTCTCTGTGGACTCGTTCTTCTTCATCAGCGGCCTGCTGGTAACCCTGCTTTATGTGAAGCAGGAGCGCAAGCCGCCAGGGCCGCCGTGCAGCTTCGTGAAGCGCAGCTGCCTGGACACGCTGATGATGATTCTCTATCGCTATTTGCGCCTAACGCCCGTCTACCTCTTTGTGGTGTTGTTCAATGACTTTGCCGTGCGGCAGGGCCTGGACTCGTCCGTATTCCAGCCGGCCAAAATCGAGCACAACACCTGCCGCATCTATTGGTGGCGCAACATACTCTATATCAACAACTTCTTTCCCCAGCACGAGATGTGCATGATGTGGAGCTGGTATATGGCCAATGATATGCAGTTCTATTGCATGGCATGCCTACTGCTGGCCCTTTCCCGAAAGTGAGTGTGCATTTGATCTCCATTATAAGCGATGCCCAATCTTTTGGCTTGCCACTTACAGATACTTCAAGGCTGTGGCTCTGACGCTGATTGTGTTTCTGGTCAGCTCGTGGAGCATTGCGGGCATCATCTCCATGCAGCATCAGTATACCCATAAGGTGGCGCTGCCGTTTGAGTCCTTTGACTTTCTCTACGACAAGCCCTGGCAGCGTGTCGGTGCCTACATCGTGGGTAAGTCCTACACAACCAAATCCCTGGCATGAGAGTAAACCATTAATGGCCTGATCCGCTGCGCTTCGATCCGCAGGCATGTTCGCCGGCTATGCGCTGTATAGGGTTAAGACGCCGCCGCAGATCTCGAGGCGGCTCAATCTTAGTCTGTGGGCCTGCAGTCTGGGCATATTATTCCTTGTCATCTTTGGCGTTTGGCCGGGCGAGCTGAGCGTCGTGAACACGGCCTTCTATGTTGGCATTGGACACACCGCCTTTGGCTGCGGCCTTGTCTGGATTGTGCTCTCCTGCTGCTGGGGCCTGGCGCCCACCGTCAATGCGATACTCTCCTATCGCGTGCTCTGGCCACTGTCGCGCCTCACCTACTGCGCGTACCTCATCCATCCGATCATCATGTTCATCTGCTCATCGCACATGAGCGGCACCGTGCATCTGAACAATCCAATGATATTGACCACATTTCTGGGCAATGCTGTTGTCTCCTTCGGCTCGGCCTTTGTCATATCCGCCCTGTTCGAGGCGCCAGTCATACGCGTACTCAAGATCTGTTTCAAGAAGTGATCCCCACTCCATCGATTGTTCCGTGCAGCTTGCTTCCTTCCTTCGAATCTAGTTTTGTTCGCGCTTTTTTTTTTTTTTGTTTGTTTGTCATAATTTGTATTGTAAATTGTATATAACTGTAGGTATACGAGTCCATACATAAGTATATCGACAGGTTGCTAATGTTTAATATAAACAATTATTTCTATTTATATATATGCTTTTATGTTATGTTTTTAGTTGGTTTTTGTGTGCGAGTGAAAAGTTCGAGTTGCTTGCAAAATATAAACATATATTTAATACAAATTTTCAATAGTTCAGTTCAATAGCTCGGCAAAGATTACAGCGAGTAGATTTTTTTAGTCTTAAGCGAATTGGAACTTCCACTTAAATGCATGCATCTCCGAATCTTAACTTCAGCGAGTCTGCTTCAGTTATTTTTTTTCCAACGAATTGGGTTTCAGCGAGCAAGGATGTACGTAATCCAGCGAGTAAGTGCTTCAACGAGTCGTGACTCGGCGAAAAGTTCTTGAGCGAGCAAATACTTTCAGCGAATAAATGTTTCAGCGAGTCAGGTTCAGCGGACTTGGGCTTCCCAACGAGCAAATGATTTGGCGAGTTAAGTCTTCAGCGAGTAGAAACTTCAGCGAGTACATATATATATTAAATCAGCGAGTAAGTATTGTGACTAGTGACTTAACTTACGGGAATCAATCGTAATTCAGAATCAATCAATCCTCAGCGATGTCAGCGATGTCAGCACAATAAACGAACTTAGTTATAATGTGTTTGAACAGTTTCACGACTTTGTTTTATTTTTGCTGGGGATGTCAGCGCGTTTCGGATACAATAGGCTCTCTAGGAATGCATCCGTGACATCAAAATTAACGCTGGCATAGCCTGCGGAATTCAGTTCGGCCTCCTCGTCGTCAAGCACAAAATAGGCATCACTGGCCGCCGATGAGTCAAGTTCGTATTCCGGATAGAGTACCTTGGTGGTGTCCCGACAGAACAAACGTATCGCCAACTGTGCCATGCGTTTCGCTTCTAGACATGAGCTCAGCTCCTGACCAGCACCTGGCCGCTGCCTTAGGGCCCGATCCAGTTGTGCCAGCAGTCGGCGAAATATAAAATTCTTATAGCGCCGACGATAGCTTTCGTTCAGCTGCTGGCGATAGAGTGTGCAGGGCTGAAAATGGGCTAGCACTATATAAATCAGGAGCATCAGCTGCATCAGAACTAAGAAGCCAAGTGCCAGCAACAGCGACGCCTCCACATTGTCATCCCAATCCAGTATAAATCTGTTATCGGGCGGATATATTGGTATCAAATAGGTAACCGTCATTATTGCAGCCGTCGACTCGGTTCGGTCGCCAACTGGACCCCAGTCAATTTTTGGAATTTCGAATTGAGTTTGCGTCCGAAAACCAGTGACACATATACCAGACAAAATTCTAAAGTGCCAATACAGCAGGCTATATTTCAACCGAAAACAAAGGCGCAGTTTACTCTGATCAGTTAAAAACAAAAATAAACAAACAATCAAGAACCGCTGAAGAAACTGAATTAATTCCAAAATCTTCTCAATAAAAAACCCTAAGCCGTATCTGTGAATGTTGCCCTTCTATCCGATTCTCATGAGCCCATGTACGACTTACACTTTGGCTTGCATTGATTAGAAGGGTTATATTAAAAGTTGAGTTGAGTTGAGTTTTGAATAATATTTTTGAATGTTGGCCTTTCTATGCGATTATCATAAACGCATGTAAGCCAGAGAATTTGGCATGCTTTAAGTAGACTGAAAGGTAATGCTCTTTTATATATTAATTACATGTGTTTTTATGTATGCATACCAATCGCAGGCCAAGTAAACCTTCCGTTGCACTACAAAATAAGGGAAAAGTATTTTCGACTCTATGCAATTCTCATGAAATAATGTGAGTTTTAGAATTTGGCCTGATTAGATGTGTTCTGCCAATCAAATTTTTAATACTGTTTTTAATAATGTTCTTAATACTTAAGCACGTATTTTGGATTTGTAAATCCTTTGGCGTTTTTCAACAAATATACCTTTCGCTTAAGCTGCAACTCTAATATGCATAATTTGCAAAAATAAAATAAATTATGTAACCCCCAGAAGTACTCTTAACTCCGAAAATCCCCCAAGCTCTTAGCCCCTTGTTTTCGTAAAAAGTCTTTCTTTGTCAAGTAATGTTCATAAAAGCTGCAACTCGCTCAGGAATTTCAGCTACATATAAATTTTAATAAACTTTTCTTGAGTACCTATTTCACCTGTGAGTCGAACTCTCGTTGCTTAATTGGTTTTCGTGCGAATCTTTAGCTTATCAGCGAGCCGTGCATTTCTAATTTCGTAAGCACGATAATGGCTCACGATTTCCATGCGAGTGGCCCCTATAAGGAACACTGTCAGCGAACGGAACACACACAGTCCCACCATGGAAACGGCTAGAACCAAAGGCAGCTCCAACTGGCTGATGATCCAAGCAATTGCTATGCTCGGCCTTCTAACGGCGGGCAGCCTGGCGACTGACTATTGCCAAATAGAATCCTGCTCCGGCGAGAAGCACATAGCATGCGGCAACGATGGGGTAAGCGTCTGGCTAGCGGCTACTCCACTTTAACACACAGCTGCTGACTGCAATTGTTGCTTGCAGAGCTTCGCCAACAGTTGTCCGGCGGGTGCCAAGCTGCTGGCTGTGGATAATGCGGCGCAGAAGGCGGTCGTTGTGGCGCACAATGACCTGCGCCAGCAATGGGCCAGTGGGCAGGGCAGGGTCAGGGTGAGTGCCTGTCAGATGGCCACAATTAGCTGGGATCCGGAGCTGGCGCGTCTGGCCGAGTTGAATGTGAAACAGTGTCAGATGGAACACGACGACTGTCATAATACGAAGATTTACAAGAACTCCGGACAGAATCTCTACATCGTCGGCACCACGGGCTCGGGTGAATCGGATGCGGCCGACATTTTGCGTAATGCTGTCGCGGATTGGGCAACGGAAGCGGAACACATCAATGCCGATCAGCTAGCCGAGTATCCCGACAACTACAATGGACCGTAAGTAAAGCCTGTCCTTAGCCATGCATGCACTGTAACTAATTCCATAAATAGCACCATTGGCCACTTTACGGTCATGGTTAACGAGCGCAACGTCGCCGTCGGCTGTGCCATATCCAACTATCTGGACGACGGCTTCAACACGTATCTAGTTGCATGTAACTATGCGGCAACCAACTTTATTGGCTCTCCCATTTATAAGTCGTGCTCGCAGCCCGCTGAATCATGCAAAAGTGGCACCAATCCCAAGAACTCCGCTCTGTGCTCCAGCAGCGAAGATGTGGACTACAACTTTGACGATCCATCGGCATAATGCTTATTTGACAGTCTTCAAAATCGGGCAATATTTCATGTTCCCATATTTATATATATTAAACAGATGAGCATATTATATTATTAGCCTTATTATTTGTTGGACACTTAGGATTTTTCTTTTTTATCATTTAATCACATTTCAACTAATTTGAAGACGTGTTCTGCACTCTAACTGAGAATCCACGTTCCACCGTGGAAAAAGAGTGGTTCAACAAAAGTTTCGTTCGATTGCCCTCAAACTTATATATAGAAACACTTTCTGTTTGGGAAAACGTAGAGTCCATGTACTTATTTTCGATATGAAATCTAGGATTTCATGCACACCGAATTCACAATTCATGCTGTTACTTCAATTCACCGGAAGCTGTGAAAACTGGTCAGAAATTGTTTGTATAAGTCCTACTTGTGACAAACATATATTTCAGACATTTTTCAAAAAATATTTTGGAGACGTGTTTCACACTACTTTGAAAATTCACTTCCCTGCGTGGAAAAAGGGGGGATTGGCTTCAAACACATTTTGCCAGGTCCACATACAAAACATATATAGAATCGCGTTTTGTTTTTGTTATAGAATATGGAAAAGTCTACGAGTATATTAATAAAATTCCAAGTTTTAATTGTACTTTGTGAGTATAACAAGCTGTTATAGATTATACAGAAATTTCGTTAATAAATTAATGGTTATTATCTGTCCGATATTTATATTCACGAAAGGGTATCAATATCCTAAAATTTAATCAAGCTTGTCTGTATTACATTTGTTGAGCCCACTGGAAACAAGTTTCAATCTATTGCAATCGTCTGTAAAAAGAACGAATTCTTTTTTCCTTTCCCTTTGATATTTTTTTTTTTTTGTTTTTTTTTTTTTGTCATTTTTCTTTTTCTCTTAAACAATAAACACATAAATTTTTCTTTTACGATCGGTCGGTCGATGGATCAATGGATGAATTGGATAGATTGATTGATTGGTAATCACTTGGCAACGATTGTCTTAAAGACAGTGGGACGCTTGTGGGCGGGCAATTGGCTATAGCAATAGGATTTGATCGTTTCCAGATCGACATCCGAATCGGGTGACAATATACAGATGACGCCCAACCGATGTCCCCACAATTTATTGGGTATGCCCAGAACGGCAACATCATTAATACCCGGATGCGAGATGAGGGCCTTTTTTATCTCGGATCCATAAATCTTATAGCCGCCCACATTGAATACGTCCGTTGACTTGCTCAGAAAGTGAAAGCTGCCATTACGATAGGCGCAAATGTCGCCCGTCTTCAAATACTTTTCGATAGCCGGCTCCGCCTGCTGCTGCTGCTGTTGCTGCTGTTGCTGCTGCTGTTGCGGCTGCTGCTCCGGCGGCTGATGCTGTGGCTGCTGCTGATCCTCTTCTGGCAGCGATTTCTGTGGCTGCGTGCCACTCACCTTCTGCGGGAAAAGATTATTGCCAGCTATTTCCAGTTCGCCCACCACCGTATTGAGCAGCAGTGTGCTCTTTGGCAGATCCTTCTGCTCCGACAGATCTGTGCCGGTTTCAGCGGCTGACAACAATTCACTATTACAGCTGACCAGCTGATCCCCATTGCTATTCACCAGACGCGCCGAGACGCCAACGAGGGGTGCGCCCAACGTGCCCGGGCGATAGTCCGTATTGCTGTTGGGCGACTGCTCTTCGAGCGTGGGCCCCAGCACCAGGCCCGTCTCCAGCATGCCATAGTATTCATAGATATTCTGGCCGGTTATCTCGCGCCAGCGATAGAAAACCGATTCCGGCAGCAGGCCAAAGGCGGTGGCCATCAGGCGAATCTTTTGCCTGCAATGATTAACAATGTACTCAACCATGCGCGAGTCCTGGGCAAACATCTTATCATATTCGGCAATGAGCCGCTTGTAAATGATGGGCATGGCCAGAAAGATGTTCACGCGCTGCTTGGAGGGGCTATTGATGCCCAGCAGGGAGCTCCACGCGGTATGGCTATCAAATTTCTGCTGCAGCAATATATTGCCGCCAACGCCGAGCAGGGCTCCAATTGCCGCATGCATCCGATTCATGGATATAAGCGGCAGCATCGAGTCGCTGGCATTCAGATGCCAACTGGTAACCAGGCAGCGCATCTGCGCCTCGATATTCCGATGGGTGAGCACCACACCGTTCCGGCCGTTCGATGAGCCCGGCGTATAGAGCAGCATTGCCGGCGCATTGGCATAGTAGTCATTGGGCAGCGTGCTTTCCGGTATGAGGGCGCCATTGAGGCCCACCAGCTGCTTGGCATACATTGCCGTCGAGGCGACACTCTCCGATGTGGGCACAAAGCTGTGATCCAACACAATGCTGGCCGTCTGCAGCTTTGTCGCCAGATCCTGTGTGATGCCCTCGCACTCGGGTGTGCCAATCAGCAGCTTGGCCTTGCAATCTGTCGCCTGGCTGAGCAGCTCATCCGGCGCCTGATTCGGCTCCAGCGGCACGGCCACCTGTCCAGAGATCCAGCAGCCCCACTGTATAACTATCCAAAGGGCATTCGTCGAGCACAAGAATGCCACATTCGACTGCGAGGCACTGCCTGTAAAACAATCGATTGAGACACACGTGGAGCAGAAGAAAGAATTTGCAAGCCTATAAATCACCACAACCGCGTCGATCTAGCCATGTCCTGTAGTCTGTCCGCATGGACAGGACTAGGATCAAGCTTACGTTTCCGTAAGAAATTGAGCTTGGACTTGGGTATGGTAAAATTTTGAATACCTCTCCCGGTTCCATTAGAATGCAAAAGAAGACTCAATTTGTCAAACATGGCCTAGGGCTTTGGTATAAGCATGACATATTTATGCACTGAATGTTTCAAATTGATCGGACAACAAGCACCGAAGTTATTCGAGACTGAACTTGCCACAAAATGGGTCGAACGAGAGAAGGGGGCAGAGTATCTTCTAGTCGGGCGCTGCCGACTTTTGTCTATATGCTTTGTTGTTTTACCACAAAAATTGGATATTTGAATGGCCAGCTTTTTTGCGGTTATGTAGAGCTGAAAGTAGGTAAATTCGCCATTAAGATCCTTAACCGCAATCTCGTCTGGAAAGAGCATGGCCTTCTTAAACGTCGGCACAACAAAATGATTTCGCTCGTCCTCGTTGAAGCTGTTCCTCAGCTTCTCTATAAAAGTGTCCTATTCGTGGGTGGATGGAGGAGGGTTAAACATTCAATTCGTTTTGAGCAATAGATATATATTTACATATATATATAGATAGATGGATATATATGTAGAATTGGACCGCACTCACCTTGTGTACTAGCTCAGCCGAACAGAGACGCACCAACGGGCGCCATTGAAATCTTTGCAAGCGTCTCAGTGACAACATTTTCCAAAAGTATCCCAAATGTTTTCTCGTTTCTCGATGCTCAGTCAAATGATTTGTCGAACTTCAATGCAACAAAAACAATTAAATTAACTCATATCCACTTTTATTTCACACAATTCTCAAGGCTTACTGTGTTCGCAACAGGGCTGCAAACCCAAATGAGAATAACACAGTTTCCAGTTGGTTCAGTTCACGGTTCGAACCAACCAGTGGTTCGACTTGTTTCAAAATTCAATACAAGCTAAGCCTTGGTTATTTAAACCAAAACTTTATCCAAATAAAAAACAAGGTGAATTTCTGGTTTCACTTTGTTCAAGGCAAAGAATAAGTTGAACCATCGAAATCGAATCGGTTCGGCTAAAAGGCTTAAGAACCTTAAGAACTATACCATACAGAATAAGAGATATCCTGTTAACAAATCTTAAATAACCACAAAAATTGGATATTGGAACAAGAAATATAATTGCCTCTCTTTGCGGTTTTTGGGAAATTATCAGAATTTCTAGGTCAAGACCTAATCCAACCAAAACTGTCTTTAGATTTAAGCTTATAATCGATTTGAAGAACTCGGCATTAAAAATTATGAATAATGTGGTATTCAAGCATCCACATAACAAATTGTATGTCTACAAGTCTTACAGAGTCCGAGTTCACATAGATAGGATATAGAGCAGCAACATATGACAAGCTAATATATAATGGTTTTTTATATTAATTTTATAATTTTTATTATAATTTCTCGTTTGATTTATTTACACATTTAATAGGGACGACAATAAAAAAAAATAATATATATATAAACATAAAAAAATAATATACTGCAAGTATATTAAAAGTGATCAAAGTACATGGGAAAAACTGGCCACAATTTTGGTATATGCACAAATCGAATAACCAAATGGCGTTTACAACGACAGACAACAATGGGCGCGCGACAGATCAATATTCCCCCAACAGTATATATATATTTATATAGATATATATTAGAATTCGCAACCAATTAAATATGTACATGTACACGCAAGTAAATATGTTGCTGTTGTTTGTTGCAGCTGCTGCGAGAATTGGCTGAAGAACTTTTACGCTCAACAGTAGAATCACATGTGAAGCAAAAACATTTTATCAACATTATATAAAGAATTTGTTTGCGAATAAGAACCAAATCGTAGCATATCGCAACAAGCTTAGTTCCCAGTTCGACTTAAGATTTGGATTTGGTTTTGATTAATTGGAAAAATTCATTAGCTTTCTGTCTTGAATACAATAAATGTGACTTTAACAAAATTGTTCTTTTCAATAAATTGTTTAAACTAGGTGTTCATATGGGTTAAGAGCTTAAGGCGTGGCCTTGTTTCAAATCAAAATAGAATTTAGTTCGATCGAAACTGAGATTCAAATATGGCCCAGAAAGAAGAAAAAAGTACTTTGGACATTAAAAAAATATTGCACCAACTAACACAAAGAGTTTTGATAAAAGTTAGATTGATTTGTGACCTTGTTTGAATGGCAAAAGATACATTGAAAATAAACTAATTAGACAAAAAAAGATTTGGCAGACACGAATTGAGGAATTTTGTACAGAGTAGCTCGACTGTATATAGGATTTATATAGGTATCATATTTGAGAAGCTATGAAAGACTGCAAAATGATCAGCAAAATGTGTCCAAATGTGATCCATGAGCTACGCCTAAACAGGTATCCATGGCTAGTATTGGATACGCTCTGGTAAAGCGTCTTAATTCTATATAAAATGTTGGCCAAACGATTCACGATCGAATCTGTAAGTGCTTTCTACTGATTTAACAAAATAACTTCGCCTCTTCTTCTTATCCTGTTTGGGGCTGTAAATGCAACGAGAGCTCTGGAGATCATCTACGGGTTGTGTTCAAATTATTGCCTACAAATGCGCTGCGCTTCCTCTCTCTGTCTCTCTCTCTGTGCTTTTTAATATATCTTTTTGTTCGTTTTCTAAATGAGAATTCTTGTGCTCTGTTCGCTCTCTCTCTCTCTCTCTCGCTTTCTCTGTCTAACTATCTATGTATCTGTCTGTGTTCTCTCTCTTTCTCTCGCTCGCTCTCTCTTTCGCTGGCGGTTGCCGTCTCGCTCTCATACGCGCTTGGGCTTGCTGACGATCGTGTAGTTGAGTCCGTTGTAATTGCGATGATCGAGGGCGGCATCATTGTTGCTCTTGTTCGTTGTGGGCGTGGCACATTGACCAGTGCCAGCTGCATTGTTGCTGTTGCTGTTGTTGTTGTTAGTGGCGGGCAGTGTGTTGTTGTTGTTGTTGTTGCTATTATTATTATTATTGTTAATAAGATTATTATTATTATTGCTGTTGTTGTTGTTGTTGTTGTTGCTGGTGGCAGTATTATTGCTGGACTTGCGCAGGACCCCATAGCCAAGATGACTGTCATCGGCCTTGCGAAAACTTTCCGTATCTGGACTAGCAATCAGTTCATATTCGTTCGGCGGCGGCGGACTGCAGCGCATGCGATTCGTGGGCAGCGTTACATTCACAATTGTCTTATAGCCGCTGGAGGTTTTATTGTTTGGCGACAGAAAGTCCAATCGATCGTAATTGGCATCCGGCGAGATCAATACACCAACGCCCACACCGACACCCTCGCCAATATCAATGTCTATAATTTTGGGCGTACTGCTGCTGCTGGTGCTGCTGCTGCAGGTGTTGTTGGCCAGATCCTTGCGCTTGTCGCGCTGCGAGAGCGAACGCTGGCGCACAAAATCGCTGTCACAGCTGAGGGCGGGTATGCGCTCGCAGTGGCGCACATCGCCAACGCCGCGCGTCTTCCAGGCATCGGTTATATTCTCAATGGACTCGTAGTCGCGCTCCAGCGCCAGCTGCTTGCCGCAGCTCTCGTTGCGCAGCGGCAAGTCCGGCGGACTGCCGCGCAACGGATCCGGCGAGGCGGGCTTCAGTATCACAGCCGAGCCGCTGTTCTTGCTGTTTGCGTCCGAGGGCGATGATGTTGTTATGGCAACCGGTTCATATTTCACAAGATTCTTATATTTATCACATTGAGCTTGGCCGCTGCCACTGAGCAAACCCGTCGCCGCCGGGCTCACCACATTCAGCTTCTCCAGCGGCGTGGGCAGCTTGCGCGGCGGCTTATTGGGAATGTGTTTGCCCGCGGCGGCAGCGGCAGCGGCGGCGGCGGCGGCGGCCTGCGATGAGACGGAGAGGCTGATGCTGTTGCCAGCTGCGGTGCCGGCGCCGGCGCTGCCATTGGCCGAAAAATTATTGAGCGAATCATTTGAGCTGATGAAGCCGCGCAGCGATATGCAGCTCTGCGTAGAATTGATCTCGAATTCGCCAGCATGCGGATTACTCGATGGCGATGGGGGCAACGGACTGCGCGAGCCGGGCTCCATGCAGGCGGCGGCACTGAACTGATTCTCGCCGCATTCAATGCTGCTCAGGCTGTCGCCGCTGATCAGTTTCTTCATGGACTTCATTTTGGCGGACATGCAGCGGAAGACCTCCTGCGGATTGGTATGATCCAGCGTAAATACGCCCTCGCCCGTTGTACACTTGCGTCCCGCCTCAAACTGAAATTTGCCATCCCGATAGCCATATTTGCGTATGAATCGATACGGCCACATGGCAATTGTCACATTCAGATCCTCCGATTTCAGCTGCAGTTCCGTTGGCGTCATCTGCAGCATATATGTGCGCGGCTCGATGTTGCACCGGATCGACGCCTCCGAGGGTATCAGCGTAATAATAAACAATCCGTCCTGTTGATTAAACAAAATATGATCAGCATCAATTGCGCCTAGTTGTGGGTGTGTGTGTGTGTGTGTGTGTGTGTGTGTGTGGATATCGTGTGGCAACCAGCTGCAGCTGTTGCCACAATTAGGCTGCATTTTTGTTGTTGCTGTTGTTGTTAGAAATTGGAGCTTCCGTTTGGAGGGAGGCACGGTTCGTGTTTGTTTTCTTAACGATAACGCGATTACATTCACATATTATTTACATATTGTTTATGCAATTGGTTGGAAAAACAGTTGCCTAACATTTCTTATCGCAGCTTGGCTTCAATTTCCAAACAAAATTCCACGTTTCGCTTCTAACTACGCACTTCTTCAGTCAGTTTTTATGATCAAGACATGATTGGCTTCTTTTTCTGCTTTTTTTTTTTTTTGTGCCATATTTGCAAATGTTGCAAGACACTTCATTTTCTTACTCTCTCGCTCCCTTTCGCTTTCCCTTTCACTCTCCCTTTCCATCTCTGTTCCCCTCCACGCATTGCTTTCATACATCGCAATTCTTCTTTGTGCTTCGTTCTTAAACGTTGCATCGATTTCGTCTATTCTCTGGTGAGCGTTAATTATTGTCATGCTCCTCTTACAGCATTCCGAAAATGCATATTCTATTCCATTTAACAATTCCTTTTCATGTTGCTCTCGCAAACGTTACGTAAAGTTGTCTCTTTCTTTCCCATTTACGTTAACGTTTGTGCAGTTTCGCCTTGCCTCACATTCGTAAACGTTTATATCAATTGAGTTTTGCTTACTTTCGTTCCTTTACACTTCCCAGTCGTTCAGTATTTTGCCAGAAAACCTACCTAGTCCTCAGTCTCCAGCAAATAACATAGTTAGCTTTGATTATGCGATCAGTGCCGCTTTTGACAACGAAAAAGTTGGCCTTGTGGCCGAATGCAAAGTAAAATTTGAAGCTGGTCTGGTTATTCTTTTTTTTTTTTTTTTCGTACATTTATAACATTAAACATTGTATATTATAGAACGTGCGTGTAGCGCCCTGAAGTTTTGGTTAAGCAAATTCGAAATTCAACGTATGCAGAATGGATTTGAAACATGCCAAAAATGCTAAAAAAGAATTGGAACAAAATGATGCAAAGGAAATCGTTTGGACACCAATACGAGCACTCCGGGAAGAATGGAAGACTAGTATCGAGACGAAGAACTCGCGAAAAGATCAACACGATCGGATTGTACAATTCATAAGCCATCAAAGGGAGCTGGGAGCTGGCGACTCTGACGCCGAGGATGAACAGGAGCAAAATGTAGACGAAATTAACGAGCAGGAGCGCATAAATGATGAGAAAGAAGCCCAACGACAGCAGCTAATCGCAGACGGTATCAAAGAGCAACAGCGCATGCGCCAAGCGAAATGGGAAAAGGATATGCAAAACGAGCTGCACTTGCTCAACGATCTCAAACGCGAACAGGTGTACGATCATAAGCTTAAGAATCCCATACCCATCACGGAATGCCATACGAGCGTGCATAAATGCGATGAATCGCTCGCGACCATGTCGGATCTCAATAAGCTGGTGGCCCAGAGAGTACCGAAAATCATGTTGGATGAGCTGCTCACCGAGCCGCTGCTCAGCTGGGAGTCGAAAATGTTGCCCAAGAAACCAGACCTGGTCGAAGCGCTGTGCCATCTATTTCGCCAGAATATTGGACCCACGCTGGCCGTTGTTGTCGAGGGCAAACAACTCTATTGCCATTCCATGCTGTTGGGCCTAACGTCCGCCTTCTTTAACGATCGCAACTTTTCGCAGGTGCTGTATCTGCCCGCATCCAAGATAGCGTCACGCAGTTTTGTTAATATCTATCGCTGGATGCTGGAGCCCATCAATTCGATAACGCTCACCCAGCTGGTCGAGCTAATGCGTGCCTCACAGTTCCTGGCCATCGAGGAGCTGAGCAAACAATGCTGGCGACTCGCTCACGATGTGCTAAAGACCACAGATCGTGTCCTGACCATGTATATCGTATCGCAGCGCGTGTGCGTCAACATCGAGAAGATCATAACGCCCTATGTGGGACGCGTTTGGATGTCCTATGCGGCCAGTCGGGAGTTTACGAATCTGGAGTTTAGCAAAGTGCGACGTCTGCTGCAATTGGACAATCTGTCGGTCAATACGGAAATGGAAGTGAGTATTGCATGAATATTGGACATACGGCCACGATCAACTGCATTGTCTACCTGTCTGCTTTCAATTTAACAGGTGCTATACACGGCCATACTCTGGCTGGATGGGGATTGGCCGCTCCGGCAACGTTATGCTGTGGATCTGATGCGTGTTATACGCTTCGATGTGATGCCTTTTGTGTTCTTGATCGGCTTCGATCGGCGCAAGGACGGCCCACCAGCGATGAAGTATTTGAGGGAATCGGTTAAAGTGCGCAAATTCATATTCGATGGACTCGCCGATCTGTGAGTATGCCTACAGGGTATTGCCTGTATTAGATACGCTAAGTCACAGCCTGCCCCGCCCATCTGTTAGACGCTTAAAGCCGGACAGGCATGTTGGCGGCAACGGCAGCTGTCCGCGCGACTGGATCTACGATCCGTCCTGCCCCTATCATCACGGCCACACGTGCAACACGGTGCGTTATGCGACCTTCAACGAGTTCATCAACTACCTTCAATGGGTGCAAAGATCTGGCAATTTGAGCGTCAATCGAATCAAACGCTACACGGACAATGACATTGTCTGTTGTTAAGTCAAATGGATTTTAAATGGAGAACGCGACCAAAATATTTAAAGGAATATACTTTTTTACAAACGATCTATATGTTGTCTTTTCGTTATCCACTCTCCCAAACGAATTCCATCCTTATTGCTTGCAGGTGCAATCCGGCCTTGTCCGGGCCAGGTGTTTTGCCTTAAGCTTTTTCTCCCTTGGATATTTAACATCATTTAATTCATTTATTCGCATATATTTGTAGCCCGATCATATGAATCTTTACCTTCCCGGAGTTGTGGATTTTGCGAACAGTATGAGACACCTCTCAAAGGTCTTTTCTTTGAGCAACAAGTTTTAAGAAGCAGAATCATTATAACACAGGTCGCGAGACGCAAAAATCTCAAGCATCTTCTAGAAGTTTTAAGGAAGAACAATATGCCCATGCTCCCTAGAATCTTATCCTAATACTTAGCTTATTTTGCAATAGATTTTCTTTTTTATACCCTTTCGGGCTTCGAAATGTGCTACGCATAGAAAAGTGGACATATCCCACCCCATTATGTATATATATATATATATTCTGGATCAGTATCAACAGCCATGTTCGGCAGTGCGTCCGTCCGTCCGTTTCTATGCGAAACATCCCTCTTTCTGTTGCACGCAGTGCAAATGTCGGAGCCGAGTGTATCGTATCACTATATCAGATAGCTACCACAGTCGGTCTTGTATGGAAACCTTTTTGGTTTTTCAAGACATTCTAAACATAATGAAAGCTGATTTTAGTAAAGTAGAAAGTCTTGCAACTGTTTGAATCTGTGTGAGACTTTGCTTTTGCTGCTATAAGCTATATCTCATATTAATTGTGTTCTCAATAAACTTTCCTCGCACTGAATCAACATGGCACGACATTAAATGTTGAAAGATCATCAAGTTCATAATTTCTAAAGAGCTCTCAAGGAACTGCAACTTATTGAGCTAAGAGCATATCAAGAACATTCTCGCGTTGAGCTCCCTTTTCTGCTGCTCTATTAAGAACTGGCTGTTAACAAAAAACCTGCACCGCGTTCAGTTCTGGGTTTCTAATTCTGTTCCTAAATACATTTCGGCTTTGTTAGTTTTATGCAGTTGTTGGACTTACAAATGAGCTGCAATATAGATCATTGTCCTCCTCGATGGCACCGTGGGCGGCATGTAGGCCGCTATTGTCGCAAAAGGCGACCGTTTGCAGTGCAGTCACCCAATCCTTGAGCTCCTCATCGCTGTTCGTATTGAGTGTTAGCTGACCATTCCGCTTGACAATCTGTATGAGATTCGCTGGCGGCGGTTCCTGTGTGATCTTAACACAATTCTCCAGTGTGAAGATCTTTGGATTTTTGTCATCTTTATTCTCGCAAATCTCCAGCCGTGCGATGCCATGGCGACTGGCCTTGAATAGGAGGCAATAGCGACTGCATGATTTCTGGAATATATAACATAGCGTAAAGCATCTATAAAATAAGAATATAAGAATATACAAAAAAATAAAGTCGAATAATCCGAACAGATCCGGTCAACTCCCTGTAATTTCTACTAATATCAAGACATTTCTTTGGACAACTTCTCGAATACATCTCGAAGGTTGGCTTCATTGATTTGGTGTTGTAAGATCGGGTTTTTAATGTTTGTGCTAATCAAATTTCCAACGAAAATTCGGACTTACATAACAAAACAACACATATGTATGTACATGCATTTCAACTGGGCACGGCCCCAATCCTCAAAAGGCACTTAAGAATTCCCTGGCATATGGAAGTGTATATATATATATATACATATACGTATATATCTCTATATATGTGTATGCATATGCATATGTATATGCATATGGAGACAACGGCACCATGAAGCATGGATGAATCCCCAAAACAGCCGTCATCGCGAGCATACACGCACGCATACATACATACATACGTTTATTGTGTGTGCGAGCATGTATGTGTGTGTGTGTGTGTGTGTGTGTGTACGTCTCAGGCGCGCACACGCAAATCGAAAATATGTTCGGCTCGCCGTTTGGCATGTTTCTTTCTTTCTCCCACCTTATGCTTCTCATTTGTATGCAACAAGTATGCAGATGGAGATATCTAGACACACATATATATGTACATACACACACACACACACAGTTATGGCTATGCGCACACAAGCACACGAGAAGTGCACACACACAAATGCACATGGCGAGGTCCTGTTTTTAATACGCATTTGCCAAAATAACGAAAGTTGCATTTCGTATTTATTTGGCATTTGGCATTGCACATTTGTGCAATTGTTGCTGTTTAATTGCGAAATCTGTATGTTCTTTGCCAGGCTCTTACCTTTTTCGAGATACGATTTAGCGAAAATCCAGTTTGCGTTGGAACATTAAGATATCCAGCCAAAACAGGTATTTCAACATCCATTCTGTTGAGGCCCGTTGCCGATGCTTCTCGTTTGCGTATTCAATTGGCCAGTAACAAAACGCGATCTTGTCAGTTTTCATAAATGTTTAACGATTTGTATTGCTTGGTATATGCAATTGGAGATTCACACTTCATATTTACATTTGATCGCAACAAAAATAAACGCAGCCGCTGGCCAACAATTCGAGCAACTTTATTTATTTATGCGCTCCCAGAGCTGCATTCTATATGCTGCAATCGAAATCGAACTATCATATTACCTGCACACCGATGTACGCTATCGAATACTTGGATCGTTAGCGATCGTGTTGGCCACAAAAACATCGATAGCAATTTTAGTAGATAAGCCTTGCGATAGTTGGAGCGAGCGATATACGCATAGTTATTGCATGCTGTAGCGTATTAAATAAAATATAAAAATAAGCAATGGATTGCATCATGCCACGTTATATAATTTTAAATAATACCTGTTGCTGCCCTTAGTTAGTGAGTGCTCACAATCATTGCGATAGATGTAAATATGTTACCATGCATTCGCCAAAAAAAAACGCCAAGTACGAGCTGACGAAGTATCGATATACTGAACAAGTGGCGCCGCAGCTTAATGCAATGAATGGGACTGCCAACCTGTTACGTGTTTCGCGGTGAATGGCAAAAAACAATAACATACGGTGGACCTGTAAAAGTATATTTTGTGCAAAATATAAATAAATTAAACATGGCACACGATCGGGAGGTGCTGCGCATGATATGGGAAGGTCAAATTGGCATTTGCTTTCAAGCGGACAACGAGGAAATTGTCGGCATCCGACCGGAGCCCTTCTATCTGATGGTCTCCCGCCTCAGCTACTTGCCCCTGGTCACAGACAAGGTAAATTCTCATGAAAAGAAAGAAAAACAAAGAAAACTTGTTAGTTATTTGCTAAAAACAGCTGCATTAACTTATGCCTACAGGTGCGCAAGTATTTCACCCGCTATATTGCTGCCGAGCACCAGGATGGCGCCGCCTGGTTCGATTACAACGGGACTCCGCTGCGCTTGCATTTTCCAATAGGTAGCTACAGTGGGCGGCATAGTGGGCATGGCAGCTCCTATTAAATGTTCATTAATCTAATTTCGATGCGATTTCATGTTTTATGCACAGGTGTGCTTTACGATCTGCTGCATCCGGATGACGACAGCACACCCTGGTGCATTACGATACACTTTTCCAAATTTCCCGAGGAGACGCTCGTCAAATTGAACACAAAGTATACAAAACGCATGCATATATGCATTCAATTAATATTATATATTCGGGCAGCAGCTAATGCGTACGCTTAACATTTCTAGGGAACTGCTGGAGTCGCATTATTTGTCCTGCCTGAAGGAGGCCGATGTGCTAAAGCACAGAGGCTTGGTCATCTCTGCCATGCAAAAGAAGGATCACAATCAGCTGTGGCTTGGCCTGATTAATGACAAGTTCGATCAGTTCTGGGCGGTCAACAGACGCCTCATGGAGCCCTACAGCGATCAGGAGTCATTCAAAAATATTCCAGTGCGTTTCTATTACGATGATGTAAGTTCCCAAAACCGAAGCCAACTGGAAACAACTTCCAAATAACCGACAATATTTGCTACTTAGTTATTATTTACAAGGCATTTAAGTTAGCTATACTCCGTTTGTGCTCCCAGCTCAGATGTCGCTCGAGCAACTCAGCTGCTCACTTTAGTGACTTTAGAGAACTCTATACTCTACTGTGAGGTTGTTTTGCATCCTCCTGAACTATATATCAAACCCATGTCCGTCTGTCTATATCTAAGTAAACTATTGCCTCAGTTTTCGCCATGCTTCCTTACGAATAGCCCATTATCTTGTCAAGATATAGATGCATAGCAAGCTTGTCTCATTAACTCTTTACCAACATAATAATAAGGTATAGAGTGCGAATGTGAACCTCCCTATTCTTCGTATTGTCCGTGCTTACCAGCATCCTCTCAGGATATTAGCGCTAACCAGAGGACTTATCTGGCAGCAAGGCTCTCTATGCTATAGTGCTTTGTGACTTGCTGGGCACATTTGCTGCGTTTTGATCAAATTATATTAATAATAGCTTCACGCTGTAAGCATAAACAGGTCCTTCACCATTCCATCCACCTGTAGGTTGACATCTGTTTAACATAAATTCGCAATCCTTTGACTCTTCTAACCAGCAATCCTTGACTGTTTGTAGTTACAATTGGGATTACACTTGCTGTCAAAAGGCGCGTCCAGAGGTTTCGAATCTGTTAACACGCCTCGTGAGGAGGCTACGGAAAATTAATTACTTTCTCTGGCGAATTATACAACCGAATCTGAGTACCTGGACAATTGTTGTTAGAAGCGGGCGTCAATTAACTCTAGTCATGCACAGGGAATATGGGCATGTATTATGTTTTCGCTAAGCCCCATTATATGCAAACCTCACCAAGACAAAGAGCATGATCTCTTGGACTTGACTGTGGTACAAGCAATGAGGTCTAGTATATACTTGGAATACTTGCGCATGGGCTTTAGGCTTTTGTAAAAAACCCGGCCCGTGCCCAGTTCCGATTGCAACCAAGAGTTCAAGCCGCATGTTTCTAAGGGTATTTGATCTGCGGCTTGTCGAAGATAAATTTACTTTCTTGTTTTGTTTTTTTTTTTTCTTTTGTTTATCACATGCTTGGGCTTATATCAGAGCGCCGTTATCTGACGCGTGCTGCACTTAATCTTGGGCTAATCTGTACGCATAATGTTTATAATTTTTATATGTATTCTAAATTATTCTATTCAATAGGATTTCACGTACATGCAAAAGCTGATAACGCCGCTAAACGAGAGCGGACAAAAGAAGAATCTGGCCGACCTGATGATCGAATTATCGACACCTGTTCGCAAAGCAGGTGAGTTGGCTCCCTTTCACATAATCTATAGAATATATACATATTTATATTTATATATATGTGTGTGTGTGTGTGTGTAAGGACATTAGTTGGACACGGTCGGGCGATTTGCCGGACGCACAATTTTGGGCAATGGGGCACAACAAATTGCGACGCCTATTCTGCGGCATCCTGACGTGTTCGCTCCGTCTCGCTCGCTCTGCATTCTGTGAAAGGCATTCGGCTGAAAGGCGGCCCGAAAAGGTGCCAGTCAGTCTGGCCCAAACGTCGGCGCGCTGACTTATTTATTTTTCTATTGAAGCGAGGCAAAAGCCGCTGCCGACGTCGCTGCCGCTGCTGCGGCCGACGTCCCTGCGGCACTGCCAATCATTCTTCAATTCATCAATGTCACTAACAACAAAAAAAAAAAAACTGAAAAATTATTGAACAATAGCCCCGGGCCAGTACCCGAAGCGACCCAAGAGAGCCGTGCAGGGTTTGCCTGTTAGACTTTTTGGCCAAGTGTTTCTTCGGGCCATTCAGCCGCACAGACAAAGCCCCGCTGCAAGTGTGCGTGCCTGTGTGTGTGTGTGTGTGTGTGTGTGTGTGTGTGTGTGTCTATTTTCAACAAAAACTATGAAAAGATTGTGCGTGTGGATTTTTCGTGGCAAGCGAACGTTGCAAGCGACGCCGCTGGATTCCAACGCGACCTGCGGCGCCGGCGACAGACGCAAGTGCGAGCGAGCGAGCGCATAGCTAGGCAAGGTGTGCGTGTGTGTGTGTGTGTGCGTTTGTGTGTGTGTGTGTTGGCCGTGTCGTGTCGCAGTGGCTTAGGTGCAATAATAGCATTGGGAATTCCATAGCTAGACAAAAGGCGGAACTAAATACCTGCGGCTGGGATTTACGAATTACCTCGTGAAGAGCTGCTGCGCGTCGCTCTCTATGTGTGTGTGTGTGTGTGTGTGTGTTCAGGTGTGTGTGTGTGTGCAGCTCTGTAAGAAACACTCCCTCGACTGGCAACAACTACAATTGCTTTCATTGAGAAGCCTCAAAACACTCGAATGCATCGAGTGCTCTCTCCCTCTCCCTCTCTCTCTCTCGCTCTCTCGCTCTCCCTTTGTCCTTAAGCCCAATCTTATGCTGATGCTCCTTATGGCAGGGTATCGGCCGTTTGCATCTGTTTTTGCCAGTGAACAGCAGGTTGGCAAGTTTTTCTATTTTCCAGCGGGTATTTCCCCGTTGTCCAAGGTGTGAAATTTTTATTTGCATGCTTCGCCCAAAAATACTTCTTCTGGCCATGTCTTCATCTTACCATCGTGTTTCGGTAATTCCCATTTGAAAGGTGAGAGATTTGGTCGAGAACAAATACCGATCCTTTTTGCGACCAATGGATGCCAACAATTTCTGGCCGTAACACGTATTTTCCCAAAGGTCATCCAACGTGACAGTTGCATTCGATTTTCTTGTCCTTGATGCCAGGCACACACACACACACACACACACACACACACACACACGCACACCCGCACACACACACACACTTACTGCTGCACACAAATTCTTTAGCCAGCTCTTAAGTCTGGCTTAAAGTGGGCCAATGGATCAGTCCAGACACAAGTTAATTCCCGTTTAAATCAATTGAGGGTCAAAGATATCAGCTTTAATCATTTGCTAGAATATTATTATTTATCATTTCTATTTATTATTCTTTTGATAGAATTTTTAATTTTAATATATACATAATTATTATTTTATTTTTAATTTTTTTATATTGATTTTCTGCGATTTGGGGTACAAAAAAAGTATACAACTTTTTTCTTTAAATATTTTCTATATATTTTTTTTTTTCTATATGTCTCTTTTTTAATTCCGACTATTTCTCCTTTTAAAATAAGCGCTAATGGGATATTTGCAAAAGATATTCCACTTTTTAAACAAATAATATTAATTATATACAAAATATATAAATCTATTTATATTAAAAAAAAACTAAAAAAATGAGAAGAATACTGGAATTGAAGAAAACCCAGTTGTATGAACCGAATACCCCTAACAAATACCTAATTATATCGCAATAGAGGAAATATTTGAAAGATTTAAATAGTATTAAACTAAGTTTTTATACCCTGAACCCCTTAAAAACTGGGTAAAAAGGGTATATTGTATTTGTGCAAAATCCAAATGTATGTAACAGGCAGAAGGAAGCATCTCCAACTGCATAAAGTATATATATTCTTGATCAGCATCAATAGCCGAGTCGATCTAGCCATGTCCGTCTGTCTGTCCGTCCGTCTGTATGAACGCAAGGATCTCAGAACCTCTAAGAGCTAGAGACTTGAAATTTTAGATGTAGGTGCTC